CAATAAAATCAATGAAAACAGTCACAAGAAATGTGTCAGATCATATAAAGTTGCATCGAATCTATAAAACAATATTTAAAAATTACCAAATTAAACATCACTAAGATATGTTGTACAAAAAAACTCAATGATCGAGACAATCATATTCGAAAAGAATTCCCGACCCTAGAAAAAAGGTGTTTCTTTTGGACATAACAACGAATACAAGAAAACAATGTTTATTAACCCAAATGGTCCCAATGAACTAACTACGTATTCAATACGTTTTAAATACCTAATATGATATATCAAGTATAAAATAAATTAAATACAAGTGATTAAAAAATTTATAGTTAACTATATAAATGATTTATACTTTTATCGTAACAAACCTTATGATTCGCTTTCGTGTTAAGTAGGAGTACCAAGCAGAAAATAGGACCTATTAAATATTTGAAATCACTATTTATTTACATTTTAAGTGTTCTAACACCATGGTAAGCACAAGCTTTTTTTTTGGATTTTTAAAATTTAATAAAGTAAAATTTCTCGAAATATATTTGAATTGATAACCATTTATTTAAGAAGAATAAAGAAGTAGTAATCAAAAGATTATAGTAGACATGCACAAACGTCTAGAAGTCTGCCTCTAATAAGTTCGAGTCAAAACCTGGCCAAGAGGCTTGACCAAATCACGAATTTGTGTAGGTTCCCAAAAAGCACGAGGAAATTCGAAAGAGTCTAGTCGTACCCATTTTCACACCCAAAACTAAGCTCAATTTTTAACTTAATAAAAATATGTTTGGAAGGTACATGCCAAAGTCAGGGAAAGTCAGGGACGGACCTGGTTTGGAGCATAACATGGCATGTACCACCGTATTATTCCTCTGTTGAATGGTAAAAAAAATTAGGTTCGTGAAAAGTGCAATCGTATTAATTTGTTGTATGCTACTGGATGTATTTTGAAACTATAATGATAACAAGTTTTATTTGATATAATTGGTTTGCAAGGCTTTTATTCCACCCTAGATCCGAATTCGACTCCTGTTAGTGTTATTTTCTTAGTCAAATGGTGTCACCTTTTAAAAAAATTATCTATATTTGTTTCTTATAATCAAACGGAGCCACCGTTTGAAAAAATTTCCCTATAATATTTTTTTCTTATAATCAAAACTAGGGTCTTGTGCATCTCTTTCTATAGGTAGAAGGTCGAGGCAAAACCAACAGTTCCATAAAAAGCAATGATGATTATCTACGCTCTAACGCCTCTCCTTTCAATCGAGTGTCTGTTGCTTCTCCTAAAGTTGCTCACGGGCGGGAAGGGCTGCTAGACCCGCCTTGTCCGACCTGCTTGAAAAGCAGACTGACTTGTTATAATTAATAGACGGGCATGGGTGATGCAAAAAAAAATTGGATAGACCACCCGACTCATTGATTTTTTTTACAATTAATTAAATCTTATATTAAAATCTATAAATAAACTTGAAAATCCTTGATGCTTACCGGTTCCCATTTAATTGTTATGTATTTATAACAAATTTGAAGTTGAAATAGATGTTACGTATTTCTTAATTATTTTACATAACTTGTGATTTTATTGTTATCTTGAAAATATAAGCACAAGTCCAACGTATTCATAGGATGAGTAAGAACAAGTTTTCAAAGGCTTAGATTTACTATATTAGTCATCTTAGAAGAAAAACATGCTACGTCCGGACCCAAACCAGTAAACGGTGCGCTCCACTTCTTTTCCATAAGAAGAGTGATTGATTCAATAAAAATTATGGAGACTTTGAACTAATTCATTATGGAGACTTGGAACCAATTAGTCATTATGGTTCATGCATTGGTTGCCAAAGTTTAGGCATTTGTTGATTTATTTTCTAAAAATCGAGAACATGATCTTAAAGTTGTAAGTTATAATGTTTATATTGGGTTATTATTTAATAAGTTGTCGATCTTTATTTAACTTTCTATCTAAATTAATTAATAATCGTCACATCAAATTAATAACTTCAATTTGGCCTCATTATTTTGTTTTTTTTTTTTGGGAAGTATCTAAAGTATTTGATCAAATATTTTATTTGACCAACTGAAAAATCAAGCTATATATCTTTATGGGTTTTTCTAACCCCACCCCCTCCTATGGGTGCATGTGAGGGGGATTTATTGGAGAGAGAGAATATAAATGATTACGCACAATGATATATATATATATATATATATATATATATATAGGAGTGATCATATGAAAACCGCCCTCATTTGTGTAAACCGTGCAAACCATCTTCATCTGTCGATTTCATTGTTTAATCTTATGAAAATTTTTCATTAAATTGTTTAATCTTGTGAAATTGTTTCATATAATATTTTTTTGATGAAGTTGTTTCATATATGGTTGTGAAATTGTTTCATATAATACTTAATGAAACTGTTTCATGTATTTCTCTAACATTAATGAAACTGT